TAAATATCCCCTGTGCTCCACATATTCATTCCTCCTTCAGTCCCTGGCAACCACTCATTGTGTTAATTTTTGCCTTTTCCAGAATGTCACATAGTTGGAATTATATATGTGGCCTTTATAGCTTTACAGATTGGCCTTTAAAATTTTCATTTATTGCCCTAGCTGGTGTTTCTCAGTGGTTAGAGCACCTGCCTGTCAACTGAAGGGTCCCGGGTTCGATTCTGGTCAAGGGCACATGCCTGGGTTGTGGGCCCGATCCCCAGTAGGGGATGTGCAGGAGGCAGCCGATCAATGATTTTCTCTCATCATTGATGTTTCTAGCGCTCTCCCCCTCTCCCTTCCTCCCTGAAATCAATCAAAATACATAAAAAAGTATTTATTGATTTGAGAGAGAGAGAGAGAAACACCAATTTGTTGTTCCACTTATTTATGCATATTTTGGTAGATTATTTTATGTGCCTTCTACTGGGGATTGAACCTCTAACCCTGGTGTATTGGGACAATAGTCCAACCAACTGAGCTACCTGGCCAGGGCCACATTGGCTTCTTTAAAACACTTAGCAGTATGCATTTAAGCTTCCTCCATGTTTTTTATGTGACTTGATAGCTCTTTTTTTTTTATTGCCAAGTAATATTACATCATATGGACGTTCCTTCGTTTGTTTATCCATTAGCCTATTTTAGGGCATCTTGGTTGCTTCTAAGTTTTAATAATTATGAATAAAGCTGCTCTAAACATTGTGTCCAGGTTTTTATGTGGAAGTAAGTTTTCAGCTTATTTGGGTAGATACCAAGGAGCACAGTTGTTGGATCATGTGGTAAGAGTATGTTCACTTTTTAAATAAACGACCAAACTATCTTTCAAAGTGGCTGTACCAGTTTGCATTCCCACCAGCAATAATGAGAGTTGTTCTTGCTCTCTCATTGTTGCAAAATAGGTTATTTTGAGTTATTTATGCCTCATCCTCTGCCTCTATGCTGATATGGGACCTTGATATGCAAAGAGGGATCTGAAATTAGTATAGTAGGTTGTGGTTGGCCTGTATTTAGTTATTCATACTTAGAATTGACAGCTACCATTTCCCATTTAAAATATCTCATTTTCTTGTACATCTCATCTGGAAATAAATCTTGCTTTTGTTAGACTTTTGAATAATAACAGATTACTCTTTTCCCCTTAGCACAATTTTATAATGGGTCCCCGTATTCCTTAAGATTAGGAATGGATGCATAGCTTATGGAACCTAGACGTTAGTTGTTCTTCAAAGTCATTGCTAGTTTCAGTTTCAACCAGTATTTGAAAGTGCTGTCTTCCTGCATCCTTGCCCACTCTTGATATTATTGGACTTCATCTCTTCCATTTACCCCCACCTCCCATAGGTAAAACTTTATCTTATTTTCTAATTCAGAGAATTATACTTTGTGGTAAAGTAAGTATAACTCATTAAACATTTTATTCAAGGAACATTGTCTGTTTGGTAAAATTTAAAGCTTGGATACTAGAAAGGGTTATTTTTTTTAAAAAAAATTAATTTTGGGGTGACTAAACCTGTTTATCATAGGTAAAAATATTAACATCATCTATCATATAAATATGTTTGAATCTTCATTAAGGACTAATATAACTGATTATAGTGCTTTTGGATGAGAGAAGGCAGTAGGGATATAAAGTGGTATTTTGGACCATCCTAGTCATTTAGAGTGAAAATGAGCTCTGTGATGTTTGTTTTTATTGGTTTTAGAGACAGAGGAAGGGAAAGGGAGAGAGAGAGCTATCAGTTGGCTGCCTCCTACATGCCTCCCCACCGGGGATTAAGCCTGAAACCTTGGCATGTGTCCTGATTGGGAATTGAATGGTGGCCTCAGTGCAGGGGATGAGGCTCAACCAACTGAACCATACCTGCCAGGGCCATTGGTTGATTCTTGTATGTGCCTTGACTGGGAATCGATCCCACAACCTTGGCATATGGGGATGCAGCTCTAACCAACTGAGCTATCTGGCCAGAGCTCCATGATATGTGTGTATGTTTTTCTACGATGTTTTTAATACGGAATTATTATACTTTCTGAAACATTTGATACCAGCCTATGCATTTTTCATATTTGTTGTTGAAGGAATAAACTATCATAATTTCTGTTTTTATAGATTATCTTGATAATGGTAATAATAAAATGGCGATTCAACAAGCAGATAAATTATTGAAGAAACATAAGGATCTTCATTGTGCTAAGGTAAGTTCATTTGCCCTTGAACTTACATTTGTTGTGTTATATATTGTAATTTTGACTTTAAGTGAGAAAGATATTTAATCTCTTTAGTAGTTTTCAGAATATTTTCTTGATCACTTAAATGCCGTGAGTAGTATTGAGTTAAAAGCTAGCTATTTAATTCTTTGATCATAACTTATCTAATTACTTTATTTTCAGTCTTTTAAGCGATGTTTTGCGTCCCCCCCGCCCCTTTCCCATTGATTTTTTCCCATTGAGTTTTTAGAGAGAGGGAAAATAGAGAGAAGTATCAATGTGAGAGAGACACATTGATTGGTTGCCTCCTACACCTGCCCCAACCAGGGCCGGGGCCCAGGAGGAGCCTGCAGCCAAGGTATGTGCCCTTGACCAGAATCGAATCCGGGACCCTTCTGTCCGCAGGCCGACGCTCTATCCACTGAGCCAAACTGACTAGGGCTCTCTTTCTCTTCTTTAATCTTCTTCCGAGGACATACTTATTGCTTTTTTGAGAGAGAAAGAGAAACATTGATTCGTTGTTCCACCTATTCGTGCATTCATTAGTTGCCTCTTGTATGTTCACCTACTAGGGATTAACCCAAAACGTTGGCCTATCGGAATGACAATCTATCCATCTGGGCCTCCTGGCCAGGGTAGGGCTTGCATTCTTAACATGGCTGAAATAGGAAAGAATCTTTTTTCTTTTTTTAAAAAAATATTTTATTGATTTTTTACAGAGAGGAAGGGATTGGGATAGAGAGTTAGAAACATCGATGAGAGAGAAACATCAATCAGCTGCCTCCTGCACACCCCCTACTGGGGATGTGCCCACAACCAAGGTACATGCCCCTGACTGGAATCGAACCTGGGACCCTTCAGTCCACAGGCCGACGCTCCATCCACTGAGCCAAACCGGCTAGGGCTAGGAAAGAATCTTGATCTGTTCATTTTTTTAGTAAAATGGTTTAGTTGATTAACAATCTATACCTTACATCTTGTGCTTTCAAGTTGGCTTTCTATGGTTCCTTTTCATTCCTTTTCAACCTGATTTGTCTTTTCTTTCTGTCAGGTGTTAAAGGCCATTGGATTACAGAGAACTGGGAAGCAAGAGGAAGCCTTTACCTTGGCACAGGAGGTGGCAGCCCTTGAACCCACAGATGATAACTCGCTGCAGGCACTGACTATTCTTTACCGGGAGATGCATCGTCGTAAGTTTCTTTCTTTTCCTTGGTGTTAAACCTGAGCTTAAGTTTTTGGTTTTTTCTGATTGAGTTCTCTATTTGTCTGATTTGCTTCTCACTCATGATTTGAGTGGATGGCAAAGGTAAAATAAAGCATTAACCATGATTTCTGAAGACTGTAGACAGGAATTTTTTCCAGTATATTAGGATCCTTGAATTGAAATGAGCACTTGAGTTTTATTTGTGGCATTATGATTTGCTAAGTGGGAGAGTTACCCTTTTATCACCTTTTTTTAAAAATAAAAAATTTTAATATCTTTTTATTGATTTCAGAGAGGAAGAAAGAGGGAGAGAGAGATAGAAACATCAATGATAGAGAGTATCATTGATCAGCTGCCTCCTACCCACCCCACACTGGGGATTGAGTCTGCATCTTGGGCATGTGCCCTGACCCCGACCAGGAATCGAACCATGACCACCTGGTTCATAGGTCGACACTCACCCACTGAGTCACGTTGGCTGGGGTCATTTAAAAAAAAAAAAATACATTTTTTATTGTTTGTTTGTTTTTTTGAAAGGAAGGGAGAGAAACATTCATCTGAGAGTGTAACATCCATTGGCTGCCCCCTTTATGCGCCCTGCTGGGGATCAGCCTGAAATCTAGGCATGCTCCCTGACCAGGAATCTAACTGGCAATCCCATCCCCCACACACAGGACGATGCCCAACCAATTGAGCCACACTGCCTAGGCCACTTTTTTCACTTTCTAATATATAAAAATTCAAATATAGACAAAAACAGAGAGTGGCATAATAAATCCCATTGTATTAATTACCCATCTTCAGTAATAATTGACACATGACCAATTTCATCTATACTCCTCCCCTTGCTAAATTATTTCTAAGCATATTCTAGATGATCTGCTATTTCATCTGTAAGAAAGCTTTTTATTATTGATTTCTTGAATATTTTATTGTGAAATAATAGTTGTTTTTCTTAATACATATTATAGAAGAGTATATTTGATATAACACTAAACAGTTTGATGTGGAATAATGAACTTACTGCTCAACTTTATAGAACTAGAGTATTAACAATACTAAGAATACTTCCTGTGTGTTCCTCATCAATCTCATGTCCCCGTTTATCTTCCAAGAGATACTTGCTGTCCTAAATATTTTTTACTCTCTTGCTTTTCCTTAAATTTTTACCACATTTGTTTTTCTGAGTAATGAATGATTAGTTTTATTCAATGTTGAACTTGATCTAAAAAATTAAGTGCTGTTAAGATTTAAGTTATACTTCAGTAATGAAAGAAAATCTTATTTCTCTTTGTCTTAGCGGAGTTAGTTACAAAACTTTATGAAGCAGCTGTGAAGAAAGTTCCTAGTAGTGAGGAATATCACTCTCACCTCTTCATGGCCTATGCCAGAGTGGGCGAATACAAGAAAATGCAACAGGTAACTTGATCTTCAGACCTCCTGGGCTGCGGGATTTGCTGTTAGGGATCAAAGTCTCTTTAATGTGATTTAACTGCAGTGGTGTGTGTACCTGCACATGTGCACGTTTACAAATATCTGTAGAACTGAATTATGTATTTGTATGTAGAGATTAGCCAATTATTTTCTTTGTGTTTATTAACAATAAGCTGTTGTTCAAGTTTTAAAAATGTTTCCTTTGGGGGAAATTTGGTTGTTCCTCTTTTGTGGCCGGATGGTATGTGTTTTGTCTGGTTTTGGTAAGTTGGCTTCAGCTTCCCCTGCAACAGATGCTGTTACAGTTTCAGAAAATGGGCAGAACTCTCAGAGCAAAAAATGAACAGATCATAGAAAGAGTAACTTTAAAGTTTACATCTAATTTGTAATTATTTATAGCCTGATGAGATTTTTAAGTCCACGGGGGGTGGGGCGTGAGGGGAATCCCCATGGCTTGGGATACTTGTTCTTTTTTTTTTTTTTTTTTGGCCAGTTAGCACATTTTAGGTGCTCCTTGTGTTCCTGTGAAGGAGCCTCATTGGTGCACGTTTGGACTAATGAGTGGGTAAAGCGGACATCTCCGAGAAATGAGACCTGCACCGATAAACCCATGCGTAGAGAGTTACGATGTCAAGCTAGTACTTTTTTTATTTAATGAATTTACATGCCTTACTTTTTATTCCAAGCTAGTATTTTTTAAAAAAATGCCTTGTTTGTGGGTGTAATGTTTTCTGAAGGCAGAACTTTCTTGTTTTTGTTTGTTTTATTCCAGTGGTTCTCAACCTGTGGGTCGCGACCCCTTGGGGGTCGAACAACCCTTTCACAGGGGTCACCTAAGACCATCGGAAAACACATATATAATTACATATTGTTTTTTCTGATTAATCACTATGCTTTAATTATGTTCAATTTGTAACAATGAAAATACGTCCTGCATATCAGATATTTACATTACGATTCATAACAGTAGCAAAATTACAGTTATGAAGTAGCAATGAAAATAATTTTGTGGTTGAGGGTCACCACAACATGAGGAACCGTATTAAAGGGTCACGGCATTAGGAAGGTTGAGAACCACCTTTTATTCTTTAAATATCAAGTTACATTAATCAGGGAGGGTGGAAGATACTATATTAATATAAATCCTTAAAATTAATTTTCTATATGCTTACCTAAGGCTCACCTGAGGACATGTTTTTATTGATTTTTGAGAGAGAGGAAGAAAGGAGAGAGAGAGACACATCAATGTGAGAATGAAACATCAAATGGGTTGCTTCCCGTACATGCCCGATGGGGAATCCAACCTGTAACCTAGGCATGTGCCTTGCCTGGAAATCAAACCCCAACCTGTTTGGTGTATGGGACAGTCCTCAACCAAGTGAGTCACCTGGTTAGGCAGTTTTGTATCTTGATTTTTGGAGATATTGCTTCAATGTGGCTTAACAATTACAGTTCCTTTTTTAATTTTTAAAAAATTTTCAGAGTCTAGGAAAATTATTTATTTATTTAAATTGATTGGAGAGAGAGAGAAAGAGAGAAAGATTGATTTGTTTTTCCACTTATTTATGCATTCATTGGTTAATTCTTGTATGTGCCCTGACTGGGGATCGAACATACAACCTTGACATATCAGAACTATGCTCTAACCATCTGAGCTACCTGCGCAGGTTAACAATTACAGTTCTTTAATATGCTTTACCTATATCATGCTTTTGCATTATTCTAGTTTCATGTATTGAAAGAATGGAGTTCTCTAGTGTTAAATGTTTTAGAATAGGAGGCTTAATTTTTATTCCACCTGTGTTGCTGTTTATGGTAGTTACAGTTTTTTAGCTTATATGTATGTTTATTTTGAAAGTGGTATGTCAGTCTACGGTAATAGGTATTTTACAAATTAAATGTCATGCTTCATGCAGGTGAGGGCTTCTGTTTTGTTTATTGCTGAATCTTCAGCTCCTCGAATAGCATCTGCACAATAAATATTTGTTAAATAAATGAATGATTTTCATAAACTGGTGGAGGTTAGGGAGGAAGCCAGAGAATCAGAAAACTTCTACTTCCCCAGTGACATCTCTGGCAGGTACTTTTTAAAATCCCCTTGAATGAAGAGTTTCTAGTCATTCACATTGTGGTTAGACTTTCCTTTTTCTGTAAATGACATTTTGGTTCTCTGAGTCACCAGTTTACAGCCATGATTTTCAGACTTGTCTATCTTCAAAAGTTTTGTGTATCAGCAGAATATTAGTGTCTGTAAGATAGGGTGTGGACATGACAATTTGCCTTTTTTTTAAAAAATATATTTTATTGGTTTTTCACAGAGAGGAAGGGAGAGGGATAGAGAGTCAGAGACATCGATGAGAGAGAAACATCAATCAGTCGCCTCCTTCATGCCCCCCACTGGGGATGCACCCACAACCAAGGCACATGCCCCTGACCGGAATCGAACCTGGGACCCTTCTGTCCGCAGGCGGACGCTCTATCCATTGAGCCAAACCGGTTCGGCAACAATTTGTCTTTTATATTAAAAATTTATATTTTATATCCTATTTCTTTTTATTTTTGCGTGTCATTATAAAAATGTTTTCTTTCCCCAAATTATCAAGTAAAATTAACACTTTACATCCCGTTCCTACTGAGCTTGGTGTTGGAAGTACGGACCTCAAACCATCTTGGACTCTCCTTCTACTCTCTCTCTTTTGTCTCCAGGTCATCTTCATTCTACCTCCACAGTGTCTTTGAGGTCTCTTTCCTATTTTATTTATTTCATCTTGGTTTAGTTCCTCATCACCTCATGTCTTCTGTCATCCTATTTTCCTTTTTCACTGCTATAATACTCTTCTGAGAAGAGTATAGATATATACACATTAGTTCCTTACTCCTTCCGACTACTTTCGAATGCCTTACAACAAAGGTACCTCAGTCTGCCTTTTAGCCCTTTTCCCTACTATTCACTCTTCTTAATCCTTTGGTTTAGCCAAATGTCTTACTTGTTCTTGTCAGCATATTTTTCTTTGATTAATGTTTTTATTCAGACTAATATTGTTCCTACCTAGAATTGATTCATTCATCCAAATATTTGCCCAAATATTTGTATTTGTATATATTTCCTTACTTCCCATCTTTGCCTATAGACATTCTGTTTAAAACTTCAGGGTCCATTTGAAAGACTGCCACTTTGGAGAAGGCTTAATTGATAAAA